TTTCGGGGGGACCCCCAAAATTGCCCCCCCCTAAAAAAAAAAAAAAAAGCCCCCCCCCCCCCCCCACCGCCAGACTCTTCCGCGTGGAATGCGGCCATCCTCCTCGTGGGTGGGGGGCAAGAAGTGGGAGAAAAAAAAAAAAGAGGGAGGGGGGAAACGAAACACGTATTTTGCGCTTTCTTTAAAAACGGGATCCTGAAGCCAAACAAAACAAAAAGAAATTTTATCCATAAATCCCAAAAGAAATATATATTTATATATTTATTTCTGTGTGCATATTTAAACAACTCGCTCTTTCTCACCTTCGCTCTTTCTCACACAAACACAAACACACACACACTCTCTCTCTTTCTTGCAGTTAATCCCAGTCTTGACCCGCATCCTTTTCAACGGAGGCTCTAACCTGTCCGCATACACCGAGGCCTTATGGCTCCAATCATATATTTATATATTTATACAAATAGATAGATAGATAGAGCGGGAAAAAAAAAAAAAAGGCAAAAAAAAGGGGCATTCATTCATTCAGGCAAAACAAAAAAAAAAAGAAAAAAAATGATATTTGGGAAAAAACAAAAACAAGAAGAAGAAGAAGAAGAAGAAGAAAAAAAAAAGCAGAAAAAAATGGAAGAGTAAAAAAGAGCCCAAGGGAAAACATTGAAAGAAATCCAATCCTTCCTTTTTCCTTTTTCCTTTTTTTTGTTTCTTTTTTTCTTTTTTGGATTTTTTTTTTTTTATTTTATTTTCGCAGAGTAGCAAAGTCATTTCGCCCCACTCCGTTGGACGGCATGGAACAACTGCGGACACTCATTGCATCGGTACAACAGGGGGAGGGGCATCGTAGCAGCACGCACCGGGGAACCTGCCCAGCTCCGTCAACTCCATCAACACCTGTTGCAGCCCGCAGTGAGAGCAGCAAACAACGACGCAGCCGTCACCGCAATCCGATCCTTGGATGTTGAAATCGCGGCGAAGTTTGTTGCGAACCAGGAACTGCAGCACGGTGGAAACAAGACCGAAGCAACAATAATCCCCAAGCAATGAGCCAAGGGCCACCAGCCAATTTATTTCCGGTTTGCCGTTGTCGCAGTACACATTGTACTGTCGAGAAAGCTGGCAGTAGTAACAGCACCAGGACTCCAAGCACGGCGAGCAGTCCGCGCAACAGTGGCAGAGGCCGTACCTCCAATCCCGCACGGGTGGAGGTGGCACCATGGCAAGATGCGCTGAATTCGGCATGTATACGCCGGGTCCCCATTTTTGGGCGGAATCACCCCCCTGTGCAGCTGCGTATACGCCGGGCCCCCATTTTGGGGCGGAATCACCCCCCTGTGCAGCTGCGTATACGCCGGGCCCCCATTTTGGGGCGGAATCACCCCCCTGTGCAGCTGCGTATACGCCGGGCCCTCGCATTTCATTTAACTCCATACAGAAATTAAAATTGACCTGCCAAACAAAAATAAAACTAAAAAACAAAAGTAATTAAAAAACCGCACGGACGACTGTAAAAAAATCACTTCAATCAAAAATAAAAAAAAGAATGTAGAAGGGAATAAAAGCAATAAATAAAAAATAAAAAAATAAAATAACTGGTCATTTAGGAGGCCACAGTGTTCATCAGCCCGCACTCGGCCTTTTGGAGCCCCCCAAAATAAGAGAAGAAAAAATACAAATTTATTCCTTAAAATAAAAACACAACCATCACCGCCGACGACTTACGGCAACAACGTCGCGCAGCAAGTCACTCAAAAACGCCTTCACACGTGATGCCTTGGCCTCAAACAACTTCTTTGCGTATCCTTGAGCGGTTGCGGCCCTCTTTTCGGGGCATAAATCATGCAGCTGAGTGAGAGCGTTCTGGAGATCTTTTGACCATGCGAGAATAGGCAGCGCTGACACCGCACCAACCTGCAGAAGAGTGGTCAAAATAAACGCCTCCGGAAACAAAAAGTCATAAGGCTGCTGCGACCCCACAACAGACTGCAGGGCATCATCAAAAGCGGTGGTGTGCGGCATGACAGCGCACGTCCCCTGCGCCCTCACAAACTCCAACAGGGTCGGTGCGATGCTGCTTATCATCGGAAGCGTCGGCATGGAGTCGAAACGCCCCTCACACAAAAATTTCGGCATGGAGGGTTTTGTTGGGGCCGAAGCAACAGATTTTTTTGCCTTCTTCAACTTCGAATCATTTGCCAGTTGTACGCGGTACTCCTCCAGCAACGCAACGTCATGCAGTAGCATAAGGCTGCCCAACAGCTGGCGTGTGTGAGTGATGCGTTCTTCCCTGGTGGGCATGCCAACCAACGAGTCCGTCAGTGCCTTCACCTTCTCCCCATGGATGTTTCCCAGCACCAGGGACCGCACCAGGGCCCAGTCCGTGTTGTCCGTGAGCTCCATCTCCCGCGTGGTACAAAGAGCCTCAAAAGCTTCCTCCATCGTGTGCTCCTCCGATCTCATGAGATCAAACACATTGCGCTGTGTCTGGCATCGCCGCAGCGCAGCAGCTATGCGGTGCACCGCACAAACAACTCTCGCGATGGAATTTGTCTGTCGCCGTTCAAACTCCTGAACGTCCTTCATGGCTGGCCACGAAACAAATGCAAACACCTTCGAGCGAAGCAGACTGCAATCCTTTTTCAGTGCACGATAGTGCTCCCAGGCAAGATCGTTCCATTGGCAAGCCTCATCCAAAGCAACCCCTGCTAAGAGCGGCCAATACCCAATGTGAGACATGGTGTCGTGTTGCACACTCTTGAAGGCTAGCTGGCGACACGCCTCCACGTCTGCAAGACCCAAGAGGTGAGCAAAGCAAACGGAATAAATGAGCCAGGCCGAATTGTTTTGCTTACGGTCCACTCCCTCAAATAACAAGAGCCCTTTTTCCACCCACCCCAAATCTCGCGTCGCATGGTAGGCGTGCAAGACGATGTTAAGCGCAGCTGTGATGTATCCATCGAAGAGACCCTCCTCACTCCATGCAAGCTGTGCAGAAAGTGGCTTGGCCTCCTCGTAGGCATTGCGGCATGCCCTCAAAAGATCATCCATCGACGTGGAATCCGGCTGCTGCTCCCGTGCCGCGCCCCACATTGCCACGTGACAACGCAGCCCAAGAATTCGTCGTGCGTGGTAACGCAACACGTCCTCCTCAGCACTCATCTCGCTGCAGGACCAGGTGTAGATTGCCGTAGCTGACGTTTCGTCCAAATATGTCGAAAGATCCAAGAAACAGCACGCAGTATTGTAGAAACGCTTCGCGTAGGCAATCGTCTTTTGTCGCAGTGCATCGGCGTCACCCTGGCGCAAAAGAATCTCCAGCTCCGCCATGAACGGACCACGGCACGGTCGCATTGCACCGGACGACGAGGATGGAGACTGCAAAGTGTGACAGAAATAAAGTGCATCCGTCAACGTGCGATCCCTCTCGGACAGCTGAACAAAGATGCGGCTCTCTTCGTTGGGGCCATCCAGCTCCAAGACAACATCGGTGAGATCGCATTCAGACAGTGTGTTCAAATACAAATCCACAAATGTCCAATTGTCAGGTTGACGGCTCCAGAGGTACTTTGCCACCGCATTGGCCCTAGCCAAATCGCCGCCACGGTGCAGCGTTGTCGCCAATAGTTCCAGTCGGGCCTCTGGGACCCCTACTGTTGCCCCTCGTGCACTGCAGAGGTACACCACAGCTTCATTGTATAGATGTTGTTGATGGAGCACCTCAACGTACATCCTCGACGTGGAAGACGTAATGAGACCATTGGCTGTCAAGATTGTAGTGTCAAGCATCTTTGAAGAGAGTTTAAGAAGAATATCGTCGGTGGCCCCGGGTTTGACCTGACACAAATTCGCCTGCACAACCCATACCTGGTAGCGAGAATCCCCCCATCTACGATAGAGTTGCAATGCTGTCTTTTGTGCCATGTCATAAGAACCCATGCGCACATATGTCTGCAGCAGGTTCTCCATCATATTTCTCTCATTTTGAATGCCTTTTATGCGCTCGTACGTGCGTGCCAATGCCTCCCAGCTACAGCAATGCTGCAGAACATGAAGAAGGGCATTTATAGCCCTCCCGTCCACCACGTTTTGCTCGCTCAGCGCCTCCGCCTTTTCCCTTGCCATATCCAACTGGTCTGTCTTTAGCAGCAACAACGCCTCTGCCGCCAGCACCGCGTGGTTGTCGGGATACTTTGATAGTGCTGCATCCAGCAGGCCCTCCGCCGATGCGAGTCTGCCCTCATCGATCAGGTCAAAGATGCGCACGACGGAGCGGTCAGCCATGGACGACGCCTTTTCCTTCTTCCACTTTTCCCCCTCCGCCAAAGAGCCAATAACTTTATTGCAGTTTTTTTTATCTTGCTACTCCACTTTCCCCTTCGCCCCACCCCACCCCACGCGTAGCAAAGAAAAAAGAAAAAAAGAAAAATTGCGCAGAAACAAGAAAAACGGCGTAGACTCCAAACTGTATATGTATATATGTACATGTGCGTGCAAATGTATAGGAGAAAACTGAGGGAGTTGGCCATCACCACCACCCCCGTTTCCTGCAGCAGGAGTGCGTCCAAAAATCAACTCCCCCCAGCCAGCCTCAGCGAAAGCAACCCATTTTTCCTTTTCAATAATTAGTTCTACTCCTCTGCGTCGTCAGCAGTAAAATCGGCCGCCGCCAAAAGTGGCAAAATTGCCTCTCGCAAAGCAGCCAACTTCGTCCCAGGGAACACGCGGAGTGTGCTGAAGTCGAGGCTCTGTAGCTTTTGACGAATGCTCCCCACCTGAACACAAAAGAGGTATCGCGCTGCGTCCAACGCCTCTGCGAGCTCCAGCTGGTGGTCCGACATGAGGTCGCGGTTGGGCACAATGATTAAGGGCCTCTTGCACTCCAGGGTTTCAAGGATGGTCCCGGCCCCTGCATGCGATATGACCAACGCTGCGTCTTTTATAATCTCATGCAGCTTTGGACGGTAAGAAAAAACCTCCACAGTGACGGAATAGGCGTTGCGTACCCGCATCTCATAGGCCGATGCTCCTTTTTGAACCAGTAACCGCGTGATACCTCGTCTGGCCAATGCCTGACAAACCGCCTCATCATCTATAGCCTTAATCAACGAAACAAACTGAGTGGAGCCGACGGTGACAAGAGCCACCTGTTCGCTCCCAGAGGCGTTTGAAGTCGTTTGCCTCTGCGCCATCGGAAGCGGCATATCATCTACATCTTGAGAGACACCAACAAAAAAGAGAGATCCATTACGCCTCCACCATTTCCCAAGACATGCATCGTAGAGTGACTGCCATTGTACCGTAAATACATCGCAGAACGGCATCAATAACCTTCCTGAGAGTGAGATGTGCCTGACACACGTGTACGACTCCATGTATGCGATGCCCGGGCGGCGATAATACCACGGGGGAGAAAGCGTCGCCACCAGCAAAGCGGCCCCCACCACTGGCACACACACACCCGGACCATTCACGAAAAGCACATCAGGCTTCTCTGAAACGATGAGAAGCAGGGACGAACCGAGTGCTTGAAGAGTCGTGAAGATCGAGAGGAAGTAACTCTGTCCCACCTCACGCGCGCGGGGTATCGTTATCAGCCGGCAGCAGCGTCGAAGTTGATCCTTCTCAAACTCAGCGGCAAGAGCAGCCGAATGACTGTCAGTAGCAGAGACAACATAAAATGGGCGATTGGCCCGCCACACATCCAGCGGCAAGGCTCTAATGGCCCGCATCATTTCACTGGTGTGTCCACCAGAGCCCAACACGACACACACGTTCAGTGGGGCGTTCCTTCCGCGGTGAATAGACGACGGTTTTCCTCGCACAACCCGGACAAACCGCCAGACCATCAGCGAGAGGAGAAGCACCACCAGTGAGAAAAACGCCATCCTACGTCCTGCTGTGAATGCAGAAATAAATCAATAAATGAAAGGTTAAAAGGGAAAAGCAAATGGCACATAGAAACACAAACACACATGCATTCATCATAATCAGTGGAAACTGCGCATTATATATATATATATATATATATATATATATATATATATGTATAGAGAGAGAGAGAGAGAAAGAGAAAGAGGAAAAAGAATTCATGGAATTCGATTTCATTATGTGCCTCGAGCGTGTTTCTGCACACGTTTGGGCGGCACCCAATTGTAGTGCACAAGCTGCTCTTCTGCCAGAGCAGTGCCAATGCGCAGCTCGCCGCACCGCAATGCCCCCAGTCCGCCCCGCCCACTATCCAGATTTTGTCGCAGAACATCTACGACCTGTCCGCCATGCGCACCTCGTCCCCATCGCCGCGACGCGTCGCAGCCAACGTCCCACGACACCGTAATGCGGCGATCATCCAACAGTGATCCATGCATATCACTCACAGCACACATCGCAGCACACTGTTGCTCAAACACAACAAAACAAAATCCACATGGCGTCCGTGTCGCTTCGTTCAGACCCATGACAACATCCCGCACATGTCCGCATGAAGCAAAGTGTTCCCAAATCTGCCCTTCCGTGGTGTAAAATGACAGATTTCCAACGTACACTGTGGTGCTCCTCTCAAGTTGCTCCTGCCGCCGTGCAACAAAATCCTTTTCAGACAATAGTGAGCGTAACAACTCCTGGCGATCGACATACGCCATACGCGGCGTCACGTCAACGAGATATTCCGCCATGACTCTGCAAGAAATCACGCCGCCTGCAGCCCACACAGCACTTTCCTACCTTCCCCGCTTCACCCACAGTGCTAATTGTGTGAAGAACAGACAAAAAAAAAAAAGAAGTGAAAAGCAAGAAGTATAAATCACACAAAAATAAAAATAAAAATCCTCCTCTTCTTCGCCCCTGGGCACCCGGTATCATTTTGCAATGCAGCACAGACCGCAGAATGCAAGTATGGAAAAAAAGACTGCACACAAACACGCGAATCCAGAAGAGAAATGGTGAAGGAGTAAGAGGGGAAACTCGACGCAAATTAAACTTGCAGAGCCGCGACTCCCATCGCACAGAAGGATAAATGTCTATGCAAAAAGAAAGGGATTCCATGACCAGAGGAAGCGGTCGCATCTGGATGCACACACAAACAAAAAAAAGAGAGAAAGACAAAAGAAATGACAAAGAAGAAGAAAAGAGCACACAACTTAAACAGGCTCTCCCTCGCTCTTGGCCCTTTTTCTTGCCAAATACTCCTTGTACCGCTCCCCACGCTCCAGTGTTCGCGTCTGGCCGGTGGAAGCGTCGTTTGCCTTCTTCACCGACGCAGTTTCCCCTGAAGAAATCCCCAAGTTGCCAAGATCTAAAGCCGTAAGCGGCTGTCCAAGAGTGTGCGTCACAAGCCGGTGTCCATCCTCAATTCGCTGACGCACCGTATCGTTCATCACGTCATCCGGGTTGTGGACCTCGACCCCAATAATAATGAGCAAACGGTCCACGAGCTTCAGGAGTACCATTATAGATACAAAAGGGATAAACATCGGAATAAACTGATTCAGCCATGAACCAAGAACCAGGCTGACGTCCATGTTGCGTCGATACACGTGGCCATACATTACATCGGTGTCATTCATCACAAGGTCGGCAATCAACAAAAAGTTAAATCCCAACGGCATAATAAGACGAGCCAAAAAGGTGGCACCAAAACACATCGATGCATTATCCGAGATGCCTGGGAGAATAACATAAATGTCAAACACCTTTAGTTGTAGGATGGCCCAGTATGAGCAGTATGCCATGTAAAACATGAACACCATCGATCCTACAAGTTGAAATTCGCTCCCCATTGCCAGGGCAATGACAGAAAGCTGCCTCGTTGTCAATGGCTGAAATGGCAAAAGAAGTTCACTCCAAAGCACCAGAAGGGTGAGGATTGAGGTGCACAAGGCAGCTCCCCGATAGACCATGCCTCGTACGGGAAACCAAAACCTTTTGAAAGGATTATTGGTAGACTTCACCCCAAGTATAAACTCATCGTATGCTAAACAGTCACGAATAGTGGAATCCCACAGATGATTCATCCTTCGCACAATTTTGATGGAGTACTTGACGCGTGCGTGGAGTTCCTCTAAATGCTTCAAGGAAACATCGGTGTGGTTTTCCCCCGTCACAGGCCTCACAAGTGCACCTGCAGAATGATGCTGCAGTATTTCACGATCTGCTTTGGTAATCTTCTCCATCATGTGCGTCCAGTACACCTTGTGCTCCTCCGCCACAAGGGGATGGATCGTCATGAGCTCCGCCTTGACCTCAGCCAAGTCCATGGAGGCCATATCTAAATCCTCCTGAATGTCAACAGCCCTGAAGTACGCACGACGCAACATTCTGACAGCATCCGAGCTTCGCCAAAGCATCTTTGGCACGCCCACCAAACCAGCTGACATGAACAGAACCAGCAAAATAAGACCCCAGGCATTCGCTAAAGAAATGGCAAGCTTCAGAATATCCGCAATGGAATTGTACGCCCCCTTGAGAAAGACAACGTAGCCAAAAAGCACAACAATAATAATCAAAGATATAGCATACAGCTTCAGGTTGTTCCTGATGGCGTGCTTGATTTTTCGCGTCGGGGCAAAATCTCCCACTTCTGTGTACGACTGCGAGACAGGAAGCACCGCCCAGCCCATAATGTACGTTGCCGACACAATGGCGTACCAAACACCAATCAGCCACGTCTCCTTTGGCATACTGGGGTCCGCTTTTGCGTCAATGGCCGCGTTTATATCCACTACAAGTAGCGGAAACGGTAAAATGGAGGAAAAGAGGGCAATAATAATAAACACACGGCAAAGCACCGGCATATCCTTCGCAGATATCTTTGTGTAGTACCGGAATATCAGTAATGTTGCCACAAGCGATAAGAAAAAAAAGAAGACGGTTGAAAATACGCTGCCCGCTGACATGATTGGCTCGCGTATAACTTGAAAGAAGAATAACAACGTCTCTCTCGCTCTCTCTCTCTCGCTCTTTTATTGCAGTCGACGCTATATGCCGTTTAATACAAATATCTATGCGTATATCCCGCCTTTCTACAAATGAGCAGATAAATGTAAAGCGGTGGGGCCGCTGTGAGTCCCTCTGCCTACTGTTTGCTCGCCAGTTCCGGCTGAAAAAAAAAAAAAAAGGAAAAAAAGAGAGAGAGCATATCATCATGCCAAAGCAGTTGAAAAAAGGAAAAGAATGAACCGGGCCAAAAAATAAAAAATAAAAAAATGTATGATGGGGCATAAAAACAAAAATATATAACACCTTCTTCCTCCGCTTAAGACCCCTCCTCATTTCTCCTTCTTCTTCCTCTCTTTTTAATCCATTGACTCCTTCAAAAGTTGTTAAGCGGAGGCAAGTTTTATTTCCGCCTCGTCGCGCTTCTGCATCACCGACAAGATCTCCTCGTGGAGCGGGTGTGGCTGGGCCTTCAACCGCAGCGCCAGACGATTCCGATCCATCGTTTGCTTCGAGAGCTTCTGCTTCAGCTCGGCGAGGCGAGCGTTCATCTGCTTCGGCTGCGTGGAAGGCACCTTCGAAGCACTCCCAACGGCCCCGCCCTGAGTACTCAGCTTGGAGAGCACCGCCTCGAGCTCTTTCTTTGCATCCTCCAGCCTGGCGGGCAATTCTTCCTCGCTTGTGTGCAGCACGGTCTGCAGACGCTCCTTCTCCTTCATGATGTGTGCCACTTGAGACTCCATCTCCCGCAATTCCTCCGGAGTTGTCTGCTGCTGCTGCTGCTGTTGTTTGCCTCCACCCTTTGCCTTCTGGCTCCCAGGGTTCAGCAGCGTCGCACCCTGAAGAACCTTCTCCATTGCCTTCGCGTCCACCTGGCGGGCACGAGCGCGAAGAGCCTCCTCGTTTCGTCGACGCTCCTCTTCACGTGCGGCCATGCGTTCCTCTTCCAGCCGCTCCTTCTCCAGACGCTCCGCCTCCTGTTGCCGCAGTTCCTCCTCGGTGAGGGCGGGCTCCCCGTCCTCCTCTTCCTCCTCCTCGTCCTCAGCCAGATCAAACACCGGTTTGCGGCCTTTTAGCACGCGCTCCTTGTCGTGCGCACGCTCCTCAGCAAGAATTTCATTGACCCGCTCAACCAATCCGTTCTCCAGTTGCCTATAGTTTTCCTCGCTGACCATCACTGGGTCCGTAAAGAGCTGTTGGAGGAAGGCGCCAAGAATCACCTCGTAGTGTTTGTTCTCGGAGAATGCGCGCAAAAAATCCTTCGTAATCCTTCCAAAAGCGGCGAACTCTGCCTTTCCACTGGGATCCGCCAACTCGAAGGTGTAGCGGTCAATTTTGTCCAACATATCCGTGCTTTCTCCTCTCTGCCTTTTCGCCATCCCCTTCCCTCTTTTTTCTTCCCGTGTGTGTGTGTGTGTGCGTGTGTGCGCTGCTTGTGTCCGCGCCCCTTCTTCGCCCCCCCAGTCCGCAATCCCAAACGCAGTAATGAAACCAAACAGCCAAGAAGAAAAAGAGGAAATTTTTATTAAGAAATGAAAAGATGCACAAGAAAAACAGAAGTCAAGACCTCAAAGAAAAATTTGCATGCCGCTCAGTAGAGTATTACCCAAATATGTGTATGTATTGTGCTGTCCTGCTGGCTATTTGATTTGTGCGCTCTTTTTCCTTTTTTCGTCGCACGAGAGTGGATGTACAAGGCAAGAAAACATGCGGAACACCTTGAGCTCGTCCCAACTCACGTAAATGTCACACCACCGCGCTTCAATTAATGGGAGCGCATAAACAGAGAAAGAAAAAAGGAAAAAATGATGTCGCCCCTGCCCCCTTTCGCTTTCTTTGGCTTTGTAATTCCATTTTTCCCTCTTCTCTCTTTGTTCGCCTACAAATATCCATATATATATATATATATATAATATATTAAGGTCCCACGTCCAAATACAGGATTTAGAACTTTGTAGGGGGGCGCGTGGGCATTGTACGCTTCTCGGGCGGCTCTTTTGATGGTGCTGCAGGCGGCACTGAAGATGACAAGGCTGCGGTTTTGGGCACCAATATTGATCCCAAAGCGACAGTTGCACCCGCCGTGTTATCCTGCACACGAACATACTCCTGCGGAGCTGACGCCACGTATCGAGCCGCGGTGACGGGTGTGTAGGCCTGTGGATGAAACGGCACGGGAGTAATGGTCAATTTTGTCGTCGCCGCTGGTTTTTTTGCAGCAGTTGCTGTTGTTGTCGTCGTCGGTGGCGGCGACGCCACACTTCCCTGCTGCAAGGTCGTTTCGCTCGTGAGCAACGGTGGAACCGTGCCCCAGTACACTGGTGGCGTCTCCTCTGCGGCCACTTCTTCCATGACCCCAGGGAAAAGAAATGTATTCTTCTCATTCCGTGGCGGTTGTCCCCACTGGCCCTCGCCGTTGCCCCACTGTGCGCCGGGTGGGATGGGCGCGTTGAGGCCGGGGACCTTAATTGTGGGATACGCTGGAGGCAGACGACGCATCGCCTGCATGCCATACAGCCACGGGGGAGGAGAGTGTGGACCCATGCCCAATGCTGCGCGAAGGCGTTGAGAGAGATGCCCAGGCTCATGGTGATTCTTTGGAATCCACTTCCCCTCGTAGTAAATATCCCCGAACCGGCTGAGATTCACATAAAATTGCTTCCGCCTTAGTGGTGTTCCCGAAATAAAGCACGTCACGAAGGCCACCTGGTCAGGATTGGCCTTCTTGTCCCTCGTCGCACGGATTCGCTCCACACCGAGCGCGGCAATTTCAGGCGGTACAAGGTCCGTCGCACGCTCACGGTCTGCCTGATTCACCAAGAAGGCACGCAGCTGGTTCCAGTGCCGCGGCACGGGAACGGTGCGACGTACGGACTTGAGGAACACCGTGAAGTAAGGGTCCTCTGCGTTGCCGTCATGTTCGGTGACGAGGGCGCTCACCTCCGGTCCGTGCCGCTCGGCAATAAAAAGCCTCAGCGACTCCCAAGGAATTTTCTGCCGGCGCCGTGACCCTCGCGCCACCGTCTTCGTGGGCTCATTCACAGTCACAGATGGCAAGTGCACACGGTCCTTGTCCTCCACATCAAAGTTGCCGTTCCCGCTGCCGCCGTTGGGGTTACTAGTGGCGGCCGCATCGTGCGGAGTGCCGGTGGTAGACGAGGGCGGCGCGGTGCCCATCGCGTAATCTTCTTCGGGAAGAATGTACTCCACCAAGTCCCCTGCTGCCTCAGCCGCCGCGGCAGAGCGCAGACTTTTCTGGACAAGCCTCTCCCGCTCCTTCAGCTGCTCCCTCCGCTGCCGGATCGCCAACTTCTTTTTCTTCGCTAGTGCCATCTGCGGAAATCACTTTGAGGGTATATTTTCCTCCCTCTCACCTTCTGCCTTTGCTTCTCCCTAGATTATCTTTGCAAACAGAAAAAAGAAGAAAAAAAAAAGGAGGGGGCGGGGCAATACGCCTCTCTCTCCGAGTGACTATCAGCAAAAAAGACAGTCACCCTTGTTCGTGGCGCCCTCTTCTACCAAACTGAAGGGCAGAACGTGGTAAATAAGCCACAAATGGGAATAACGTCTACCAACTACACTACTCCACACATGCCTCTCAGAGCGGTGACTCCTGCATAAACTTTCTTAACTCTGCATCTACACGCCCAATTTCCTCGCGAAGAGAACTGAGAGGGTACGATGTTAAGTGCTGCCGCAACACACGCCGATACAATTGAATGAGATCTTCCTCCTCACGTCTCTGTGTGTTCAAAATGTGTCGCTTGTATTCAATATCTCTAATTGCCTCCACGGTGCCATCTCCCCCGTGTCTGCCTCCACGAAGACGCATCAGTGTTAACTGCAGTTGTGTCACAGTCGAGGCCAGTCTAGTCTTCAACTCCTCCTGGTTTCGGTCCTCCTCCTCCAACTCACGCAATCGTCGTGAGTGTTCAGAGGTAAGTCGAGCCACCTCAACCTCCTGCATTGCCACACGTCGTTGAACCTCCTCAAGCGATACAAGCATGCCCTTCGCTGCGGCGTGAACTCGTCGCCATGTCACATCCTCCAACTCCCGCTCGCGCTGCATGCGTGCGAGAATTGAGTGCCCTGCATTGGCGAGCGCATGCAAGCCCATATTTGCAACCTCAGTGGATGGGGACCGGACCTCATGCGTCTCTCCCAATAATGTGTTTCGATATTTATTCGATAATTTTTTGGCCTTTTCGACCAACTCTTCCGATGGCTGGCCGTACTTCTCATGGAGGATAGAAATCAACTCCCCCTCCATCCCCTCATACTTCCGCAAGAGATTTTCTGCGTCCCTTATGGAACCATCCACGTCTCTTGGCCGTCCCGAAAGACAAAATGCAAGTACCTTCGATAGCAGTTTATCCCTCACCTCTGGGGCCTGCAGACCCGTCGGCAGACGAGGGGTGGAGAGTAATGCATTCAGATGGCTAGGCAGGAACTGGGCGTTATCCATTTAATCACCTTCTTCTGGAAACCGTACAGTCACCTTCTTCTCCCGTGAGGGACAGTGGCTTCCACCTCTCCCTCTCCAGGCTGGGCACTCGCAAAGAAAGAAAAGACAGAAGAAACAAACACACAAAAAAAAGAAGGAAAAAAGAAAAAAAAAAAAAGGTATAAATCAATAAACTCACAGATCGGGTCTGGACCTCATATTTCTTCCTTGGATGGTTTTTTGGGTACATATTACTTCGTGAAAAACTGATATTCTTTTTTCTTACCTGCTGCTTTTCCTTTTGGAATAAAGAGAAATTATTGATCCCACAGTGGGCCTGTCAGTAACAGTTTAGTAAATAGACGCACAGAGCCATTACGAAAACTCACACCGCGGTCCAACCTCTAGCGCGTACAGACGTGTACGAAGAACGATACCTCTACCCTAACCCCCATCCCCAGCGACGAAGAGAAGTGGTCGTTGCGTCATGGTTCTTGTGCCTTCATTTAGCTGATAAGGGATGGTTTACATCCCAACGCAATTGCCATGCCCGCAAATGCAATGTTCCCTACAACAAAATAAATTTCCTGAGGCCTTGTAAACAACCCAGTTTTTTGTCGTTTTACCCCGCCCATAATCCCCCCCTCCCTCCCTCCCTTTCCCTTCTACTCCGCACATACAAGCAGATGCTTCCCATTATAAGCTTTCCTAGTAGATCTGGGTCCGCTGCAGGGTTAGATTGCCCTTCTCGTCCATGATCGCCTCACGACTGGTGTTGCAGAACCCCCGCTCGTCCACTAGCTCCGTTAAGAGACCTGCATTATTGTAATATCCTGGAGAAATATGCGGTCCCTTGAGCTTCAAGTTCCCTCGCGTATTGGCAGAAAGAATCGTTGCATCAGCCGTGCCGCGGTCTCCCACAACTTTCGCCTCCGCATGCGGAACCATCCCGCGTTGCCCTCGCTTCAGTGAACGCCATGTGAGCATATAGGCGCTCTCCAGTGGACCTCGAAACACAAACACGTCCTCGAGACTAAGTTCCTTTGCTAGTTTTTGGAGGTATTCATCGCTCACAAAAGGATCACTGGCATCTTCAAACAGCGCTACCCACTTCAAATGCTCGTATTGGTCAGCGTCAAAATTGCCCGTATGGCAAAGCAAAAGGTCAAAATCTGCCTTCTTCCCAAGGATACCCTGAACCTCCTCAACACAAAGTTTTTCAATACCGTTAATGGCATGGTCGTCAGTAAACATATCACTGTGGATATGTACAAGAACAGCCCCTGATGTCAACGCTGCGTACGGGGCAATGATGGAGCCCACTGGATTTGTGTGGTGATTTGGCATCACACCAAATCGTGTCTCCGCCTTGAGCTGCATGAGTTGCGCAAAAAGAAACCCGGCATTGATGCAATTCCGGTGAGAAAACGTAATGTGTAACTTGTCCTCCACCGCCGGATTAAAATCCTCCAAGGCCAAAATCGGGTCATCTGGGTGCAAGAGAGCAGAGAGGCGGCGAAGGCGCTGCTCATAGTACGAAAAAGGACCCCACACGAGCATCTTGCGCATTGGTGTCACACCGAGTAGGTTCATGTTGTGATCCGTGATGACGACCTTCTTCAGGAAAAAAAACTCCTGCGAGTGCACCCACTGGAACTTCTGCCCCGGGTAAGAGAGGCCTAACTCGGGAATAACGTTGTAGATCATGTCCCAAAAGTGCATGTTGCGCTCCACCAAGACTCCCTGCTTCACTTCGGGTACAACTATCCACTCGCGGGCAACGAAGTGATTGGGCTGGAACTCGTTCAGATAGAAACGAAGCTTGTCAGCGCTTATGTTCTGGTGAGGCACCACCGCCAGCAAGGCCCCCACCTTCGCGCAGGCCAACTGCAAAACAAACGTCTCGCAGTTGCTCGGCTGAATGGCCAATACGCGCTGGCCAGGACGAAGACCAGTCTGCAGAAGCCCGTGGGCGAGAGCCTCGCTGTTCTTCCGTATATCGGCAAAGGCCCATCGCACCGCCTGGTGCTCAATGCGAAGAAAGTCCTTGTAGTACATCTTGCGTGACTGGATATTGACGTAGTAGCCCACGAGCTGGTCAAGCACTGGCACTTCAACTGGCCCCTTCGCCTCCGAGTATTCCGTCCGGGATCCTGCACCCGCCTTTGCGGTTCCTGCAGCAGCAGCAGCAGCAGCAGCAGAAGGCGTAGTATTGAAGCGCGCTGGAGCAGCGCTGCATCGGCAGATGTTTCTCGTAAAGCGACGAAGCATCTGCCCAGCCGTTCTCTGCGCCTTGCTTGTCTGTTTCCGATGCCTGCGTGCCCTCCCCAACTTCCGTTTTTGCAATTGCTTTTGTTTTTTGTATCCTCTCTCTCTTCAGTCCTCCCCTCGTCTCCTTCCCCTCACTGACACCGCGCGAGCAACAGAGAAACAACAAGACGGGTAAAGGAAAGAGTGAGAAATAATACCGCCAAAATAATAATCATAATAAAAACAAAATTAAAATTAAAACTGAAAAGTGGGAAAAGGTCATCACGAATAAGGGAATATCGACACGGAATCATTTCTGGCCGGTGCGTATGAGACTGAAGAGCGATCGGGTGTCCCCGAATTTCACGGCGTCGCGACAATCTGAAATGAGTCGGGTCTTGGCCTGCCCAATTCGTAGTCTCCCTGCCCTCATGATGTACGCGTTGAGTTGTTTCAGAGCTGCTTTCAGCTCGCCGTAGTTGTTGCACCGCTTCATGTTCTCAGCGATCAGCTCCTTATTGAGATCGTAGAGCTGTGCGTACAACCGCCGCATGTTGGTGATGTCCGACATCAGCCGAGAGTCCTCTGCACGGGTGAGGAGCGGCTTCACACCTGCAGCGGCATCTGCCATGCTGCTGGTCAACTTCAGACGGACCGCATTGAATGCCTCCACGGAATGAATAGCTGCCTGAAGCTCCTGGAACTCGGCAGGGAAATGACAGACCGCCGTGGCTTCATCCACCCCCGCCACCCCCAGGCTTTCCACCACGTCCCCACATATTTCCATTGTTTCCCCGTAGATCTGTAGCTCGCGAATTTCCGCTTTTCCCTGGATCACCAATCTATGACCATTCCGCATATCCAGAAATGCCAGACAAAAATCGCCACTCATTGCAGGGGTACTTGAAAGAGAAAAAGTCTCCTCCAGCCATGCTCCCAAATGTGGGAAATAAAATTCCTTCGGTAAGTGAAGTGTTACATAACCCGCCGGTTCTTTGAATGGCACCGCCTGGTCCCTTTCCCAATGTTGATACATGACAAACTTGGGAATATCTAAGGAGAGTTCGTAAAGTTGATAATTTTCGGCGTTCGTAGCACCAACCATAACAGAAGCCGTCACACGCGCCTCGACACACCGTTCAATATTAACGGGACAAACGAGAGTCGTTGAGGGATCTGCGACCGTAAAAAAGGCGTATTCCTTGCCGGGAAACAAGGTCTCGCTGTGGAGAATACAGCCCTGAATGATGGTGTCAAGATGGCCGTTTTGCACCACAAAGACAATGTCCAGCTGCCCGGTCTTTGGGTTTGGAAGTAAATTATGACGGACCACCGTACCCAATTGCGGCAACGTCACATCCGTGTCACCACTGCGCTGTCTAGCTAGCTGTTCTTCCACAATGGCAAGTTCGGCTGCCAACGCCTGCTTCTCCCGCAGCAGGGTGTCCAGCCTAAATGCCCCCTGACTTCGCATTACCGATTGCCTCTCCTCCCCTTCCTTGACGTTCGCCAGCTGCAGGCCACGTACTGTTCCGTCGACCGTGCAGATAACAGGAAGTGGCTGTCCATTCTGCCTGTAGTCGTACGCAAGCACGGCGCTTACTGGGGCCGCGTACGTATCTTTGAACAGTACGCCTCGCTTTTCCGCATCATCGCCACGAACCTCCAACCGCCCGTTGCTCCACCCCACGATAAGCTCTGGCACGCCGTCAAAGTCCACATCACAGAAGGCAGCGGAAACAGGTCGGTGTTTCCCTTTGGCACGCCAAACACGTTCGGTCCGGTCGTACACGCCAACGGTGCCATTGGCGGATAAGTATGCAAAACGACCCGGAATGCCGCTGTATACAAGCTGGTTCACCTTCTCTACTTCCACAATACTGGCAATAGTCTCCTCCCCGTCGAACACACGCAACTCAAAGTCCTCCGAGGCCGCTACTAACGATAGGGGAGCATCACTCGGATTGATAGCTGGAGAAATAATACTGCTTTCACCGCGGTTATTGCTTGCGCCCCACGGCATAAGCGCTAGTGCCGAGACCTGGTCGCCCGTCACCGTCCACAGCATCTCAGTTCCACTCTCGTCAAATCCATTGATTGTGCAAATCCCCCCCACTATGACTAATGGTATCGGATTGCCGTTGCCGGTAGACTCCTTCACGGTGTTCACAACCCCCCACGTCATCGCATGTACCCCATCCTCCATGTTTTTATAAAAGTACTCGCTATTCCTCTCTACATCGTAGGCAAGCAATGACGTGGCCGAACCAAAATAAAGGGCATCAACACCTTTCCTGTTACCCGCATCCTGCACACGGCCCACCGTCAACGCTGTTGGCGTTTTACCAAAGCTCAATGTGCGCAAGGAAGACGCCGAGTTTAGCGCCGCGCTTCCACCCTTTTGAGCCACCGTTTCATGACTCTTACTTGTGTGAATAACGAGCTGCTGCGTGGTCGTGGCACAAACAAGCGATGGAGTCCTTCCATCAAAGCGGCCAATCGTCGCCAGTCCTTCCAGAAGCGGTGTGTTCAGCTGCAGCTCAAATGCAGGCCTCATGGCGTAGTAGTTTGTTTGCGCAGACATGACCAGAAGGAGGCGCGCAAAACACGAGGAAATAATACGATACCTACACGTGACAGTCAATAACAGCAACCTCAAGACCACCTAGACACACACAAAGACACAGTCAAAGAAAAAGAAAAAAAAAAAAGGGAGAAGAAAAGAATGAAGTCCATGCAAAAAGGAAAAAAATTGTTTGTGGAAAGAGGCTTTTGCAATCACTGTGCAGCAGTGTCCTCCCCCTCCCTCGCACTCCATCCTCTGCGATGCCCAGTGCCCGTGGTGCCCCAGCGCTGCACAGACCCCAATAAGCGCAAATGGGTGAAAAAAAACGGGAAAAGAGGAGGCAGGAGTCGCCACTCTTGCGGCACGGACACACATTGAAGCAAAAACAGAAACAAAAAAGAAGCACTAGGGGGGTGAGGGAGGGAAGTCGCACAAAATAATCATCTTTTCCTCCGATATGATCAAAACAAGGGGAGGAAGAACACAGTGAATCACAAAAATGCACACGAAGAGAGAAGCAAACAAAGAAGAAGGGGAATGACTAACCAACAAAAAAAAAAGGGGGAGGCGGAAAACACACAAGTAAAAAAAAAATGTCAAGGAAGTGCAGGTAGCGTGTGCCTTACTTGGTGATAGTTGAAAAAAAAAAAAAAAAAAAACGAAGAACGCATATTGTCTTTCGTTCTTTTCCTCTTCATGATGGCGTGACGCGCTACTGACGGCACCATCCTTTTTTTTTTACCTGGTCTCTTGTCTCTTCCTTCCTCCCCTCCCCTCCCCTCTCGCAGCACCCCTTTCTATTTATAAACACACACACTCCCACACAGACAGGGAGGCTCATTCTCTCCTCTCCTCTCCCCACTCCTTGTGGCTGCTGTGGCCTCTCCGGATGCCACGCCGACGTGACCGTGGCATACACGCCAACCTGTTCGTGTAAACACAGAGAAAACGGGTTGGAAAAAAGTAGAAGGCCCAACTGCACCCTTCAGCAGAGAGCCAACCAACAGCAATAATAATAATAATAAGCAAACGGGGGAGAGAGGTAAAAATAACAGTAACAATAGCAAACAATAAACCTGGGAAGAGTTTTAAAAAAGATATAGAGTTTTCCTTCGCATCTTCTTTGCGAGCACAAATATATATTGCAATAGAACCATTCACCAAAGCAGATACAAAATGAGACCGCATCTCCCATGAAAAATAAGTACTAACCAAAAAGACAGCTGCCGAATTTGCCTTTCAACCCGCCTCCCATACGAAGCGGAGGGAGAGAGAAAGAGTGAGTTTCAGTGGGTTGAGTCTTCAGGATCCGCGACTTGTGACAATTCTTCTTTACAATAAGTAAGACAGAAGAGTGTGTGTGTGTGTGTGTGTTATTGGGGGGGTTTCTTGTTTGTTTGTTTTGTTTTTTACCGGACAAGTAGAAAAAAAAAAAGACTATTCCTCCTCTCGCAAACCATTTATTTAAAAAAAAAAAAAAAGAATTTGGGTTGCTTACACGCACAGAAGTCCTGTGACGAGAAAAGCAAAAACGAAATTTCATACAAAGAAATCTCTAAACGTTAGGCGTCTATGAGCCCATTTTTTGGTGTGTTTTTTCCCCTCGCCGCAAGTCTGTTCCCGATGGAATTTCCTCCTCCCCCCGCCTTTCTTTCCAATTCTTATCAAATTTTACTCCTTTTTGCTTCGATCGCATCCTCTTTTCTTTTCTTTTCTTCTAATTTTGTTTTTGTTTTTGGTGATTTCTTCCAAAGAGGGGGCGTTCGCTCCGAGTCGTACACTCCGACACTCGCTTGCACCAAAACAAAAAAAAAAACGAAAATGTTTGGAGCCAATGCCCCCTTCCCTGCTTTGCCCCTCATCGCGTGCATGTGGGTTGGGGTTGGGGTGCGAGCAACCACGACGGAAACAATTGGGGGGTCGTTAAGCATCAATGCGCCCACACACACACACACACCTGTAAAGCGGGTGCTCGTTGCGTGTACGTCCGCTTCCATCGTTTAATCCGTTCCGCGTTGCGCACATTTATTTTTCAAGTTGTATAAATACTCAGCGTGGGGTGTACGCACTCATACAAACAGACAGACGACAAGGGATGAAGCCCAGAAAAAAAAAAAAAAAAAAAACAGGATGACGCTGGGAAATGACAGAAGAGGAATGAAATAAATAGAAATAAAAAAAATGAGGGAAAAGGGGTTTACAGAAAAGCACAACGTCAATGCCTACAAGAAAAAAAAGAAAAACAATAATAATAATTAAATAATTTCTTCGGTATTATGTTCCCCGGCATTTCTTCCCATCCCTCGTGACTCTGATAGCGACGTCGACAGATGGGCACAAGGAAAAAAAGAAACACACACACAAGAAAAAAAAAGGAAGTCCCCCCTCTCAGCTCAATCACTTTTCCTTTGTTTTTGTTTTTTCTCTTTTTTTTCTTTTTGTTTTTTGTTTGTTTGTTTGTGTGTGTGTGTGTGTGGGGGGGGGGGGGGGGGTGGAATACATTCAGCCTTGGGGAATTGCTGAGTACGCGTGATCATGTTGGTTGAGGCTGCGGTGCTGTGGGGGAGTGGAAGCAAAGAAGAAGAAAAAAATCAATTTCTTTGGTGGACTGCATCCTCTTCTTTTTGCTTTGCCTACAATTATAATTGAGCACCCCTGATAATCATGGTGCAATAATCTTTTTTTTTTTCTTTTTTTAAATGTATTTTTGGAGAGAACGGGACAAAATTAGGTGGGGCGACATGTTGCGAGGGTCCTCTTTTCTCCTCTCAAACGCTCTCCACAATCCTGGTCCATTTTTGGACGGGGCTCTTCAGATAATAAAACTTCATTTGGCACATAAGAACGCTGCAGCGGACGGTAACGCAAGGGCATGTCGTGCCATCGAGAGTGAATTCATGCGAGAAGTTGAAATGTTTCGTC